CAAGTTGCTGGCTGGGTTTGAACCACGACAGATTAAGCTCTTGGCTTCCATATAAAGAATAAAGATGAATATATATATTCTTACATATAAAAAATAAAAGAATAAAGATGAAAAGAGAAGACAGCCTGCAGAATCCATGCTGATTCCCACAGCATGATGTGGTCATGTCTGAGAGACCTCAGTCCATAACTGGCTACTATGGATCTAAGCCTAACAAAGGAGAGTGTGAAGAAGAAAGTGAATGAAGAAATGATGAGAAGATTGATTTATGACTTCCTGTGTTTTTCTGTCACTGGAAATAATTGCCCATATGCTAAACTATAAGGCTCATTGGTAACTGACATGATTTTACTATGCCAGTCACAGCTTTATCTGAAAGTCCCAATACTTTTTAAGTGACAAGACATTGTACAAACTGAACAAGCTGCATAGACAGTGCTCCCCAGGCCTAAAAATTCCCTACCTTGTAAATCCACAGGATTACCCAAGATGCAGAATATAAGAAAACTTGTGTGAAGATTGTCTGGTTGCAGAAACTGACCTGATGTGACCACAAGCTAATGCCATACTTTAGGTGTAGGTAGTTTTGAACAGCTTTCCCTGTGCTAGGTGATCTGCAAAGTAGTGTAAGTATATAAATGTATATCCAGAGAAATAAAATTAAGAATTAGGGTATGTCTTTACAAGACAGAGAAACAAGCCGGGATGCTGAGCCAAAAAATGACATGTAATCATCCATTCTTCTTAGAAAAGAAAAAAATTGTCTTGTCCCTGAGGCATACCAACAGCAATTGCAACTGAGACAAGACAATTTGTTTTTTTATAGAAAACATTACTGAAATGCTTCAAAAGTTGGAATTTTGAGTAAGTTATCACAAAGAGATTGGATCCAAGAATTAAGGTGAACAGTGTATCTTTACAGCCATGCATGGAAAATTTTTTTCTTTTTTATATAACATTTTAGTAATTGTTTTCCTCAGGATGCAGTGTGAGCCAGCTATGGAAAAGCAAAACAAAACATACATTACAGAATTCGTCCTCCTGGGATTTGGTGATTTACCTGACCTTCAGGTTCCTCTCTTTCTGCTCTTCCTGGAGATCCACATGGTGACAATGATGGTGAACATTCTCATCCTCATGTTGGTGGTGGCTTATCAGCATCTCCACACCCCAGCATACTTCTTCCTCAGTAACTTGTGCTGCTTGGAAATGTGCTATGCCTCCACCATCCTGCCCAAGCTGCTGGTTAGCTTCCTGATAGGTGACAGAAGTATTTCCTACAGCGCCTGCATGACACAGTTTTACATATTTGCTTTTCTAGTTGGGGTAGAGTATTACCTCCTGACAGTGATGTCTTATGATCAATACTTAGCAGTGTGCAAACCTCTACATTACATTACCTTAATGAGTCATAAGCTTTGCATAGCACTAGCTGCAGGGGCCTGGGTAAGTGGTTTTATGATCAAATTTGTTACCACACTGTTGATGTCACAAATGGTGTACTGTGATCATGGTGAAATGGACCATTTCATCAGTGATTTCGCCTCTGTGATAAAATGCTCCTACAGTGACACATTTCTGATAGAAGTTTTGACATCTTTGATGTCTTTCACATGTACTATTCTGCCCTTTCTTTTCACTATAGCATTCTATATTTTAATCATCACAGAATCACTGAAACATAGAAAGGTTTAGGCTGGAAAGGACCTTAAAGATCATCTAGTTCCAACCCAAAATGTAGGACATGATACTTCTCTTCAGCTATACAAAGTCTGAATGGCAGGAGAGTCATTCGGCTCCCTAAACATAGTCATCAAGTAATCATCTGATACCTTAGATCACCCAGGTTTTCCTGGGGCTGTCAACTGTGCCTAAAGTCCTGCAGGAGACACATATTCTTCTGTATTGGAAGCAAGAGACCAGATGGGACACCATAAGACAATTTCAGAATTCCTCTCTCATCCTCATGGTAAGCAACCAATGCACAGCTCAGTGTTGGATTTTATTTATTTCGATGGCTTTGTTTCAGCTGTGTCTGAATCCCCTAGCACAACGCCAACCTGCCTTAATATCGAGACCTGCCTTAACCTGTATTCAGGCCTGAAACATCTAAATGTTCTTTAATAGTTAATGTGTCTCTATAATTCCCACTTAATATTGAGAGATCCTCTCACTTTGCCAGGTTTGTGCTAGGATGGTGTGGTAGGAAAGGAGCATTCTACATGAAGAAGAAAATCACATATAGGCATGTGAGGATGTGTCTTGCTCAGGTACTCTGTAAGTTTGCTTGTATTATGTTTGTGGGCTGAAACAGAGAGAGAAATTTCATTCCCAAGCAAGCTGGGGCAGATAGATTCTTATTTGTGCTGCAAGGGTATTTTGTGATTATTGAAATTCAAAACCTCACATCACCTGCAGTAGCGTATTCTATGTGCAGACCCTGATACTCTGAATGTTGCAGGTTTTTGAGATTACTGCACCAAGATCTTGGTCCATCATGTTAGCTGCTCCTACTATGATCAAACCCGGTAGGTGTGCAGGGATCTTCAGGACTGCTGCTATTCACACCACAGAAGATGAGGGCAAAGTTGATCTCATGTATTAGGCATAGCAGCCACTGCAGCTTCATCTGAAAAGGCAACCTTGTACAAGTATCAGCAAATAGCTTGGGTGGAACGTCACAGCTAAATGTGTCACTCTACAGTGTAGATACAACTAGGTATGAAGACTCCCCTTATATCCAATACAAAGACATTGTCACTTTTTGGGTGTGATTCATCTCATCCTTAAGTAGATATCTGAAATTATCTTCTCTAACAGTGTCCTCACTGTATTTGCTGGAATTTCTTTCATGTATTCCAATATATGCTGTACATTGCAAAGAGTGACATTCCTTCTGCTTATCTCTCTCTTCATGCGTATGTGTTTTGGGAATAATTATAGATGCCAGAGGGTTACTATTTTTCTAATGAAGCTTTGACCTGGGAAGATACAATTTGGTTTTTCATGCTATAAACACAACATATTCCTTTCTCTGTTATCTGAAATGCTTTCTTCTGACAACAGAGATAAAACTATGTTACGAATCAGGGTATAAATCGGCAGAAAATTAAGAGATTCTTTAAGAGAAATATTTATTGTAGAACTTATCTTTCATACAATCTGAATTGATACATCTACTTTAAAAAAATATAAACACAATGAAAGAGAAAGCTGTGATCTGAAGATATCTGTTGGAAATTTAAAATCTACATCTGAAGAACATTTTTTTATTTGGGAAAGGGAAAACAGCTGTTTTCTGCTGAAATGTAAACGTTGCGAAACTTCCTAAATCAGGAAATGTAAAAATGGTGAGGGAAAAAAAAAAAAAGGGAAGGTAACTGTTGTCAGTGAAATGCTTTAGAAAACGCAGAATATGTGCTAGGTGGCCTGGCAAGGAGTTAGGAGCAAGCCCAGCCTTGACAACCATTATGAGGATATCAGTTAGAGACCAGTTTGTCCTGTTTCCCAAAGAACTGGGTCCCAGGGGAGTTACAAAGAGTATATGAGTCAAGTGATTCAAGGAAACTGTCGTGTCTGCTAGCAAGGCAAGCTGGCTGTCAGGAAGCCAAGGGAGGTGTGTTCCTGGAGGACAGATATTCACACATCAGATGCCTGCATTTTCTGGGAGATCATGGGTAGATAAATCCCTGCAGATGACCACAGCTCTATTCTGTGGATTCCCAGTATACAATTCCAGGATTAGCACTGATCATATTTTGTGAACTCCAGATTTATTTTCTGTGTTGTGCTTTTGGCTACTTTTTCAACAACAAAACAATTATGATGCATTGCTTATCATGAGGACTTAATCCAGTAGTAATAACTGCATCCCAAGGGTAGCGGTATAGGCTGGCACTTGGCACATATCCATGAACACCAGAGATTTCAAACTGGGTTGAGATGTCTTCACTGAGCTGTCTGTATTTAGAGTTGTCTTAGTTAAGACTTCTTTAGCATCTGCAGAATGAGGGGTGATGGTTTTAAACTAAAAGGGGAGATTCAGACTGGACATGAGGAAATTTTTTACAGTGAGGGTGGTAAAATCCTGGCACATGTTGCCCAGAGAGGTGGTGAATGCCCCATCCCTGGAGACATTCGAGGCCAGGCTGGACGTGGTTCTGAGCAACCTGGTCTGTTGAAGATGTTCCTGCTCATTGCAGGGGGGTTGGACTAGACGACCTCTGAAGGGCCTTTCCAACCCAAAATATTATATGATTCTATGATCGTATAATAATTTAGTGTAACTTGAACTACTTCTTCCTCCATTCTATTTATGCATTTCAAGCCATCTTTTGATTTTTTTGGTGAAATAGATTTCACTTGGTTCTGTCTCAGAGGTTGTGATTTGAAGTGTACATCTCTAACATTTGTGAAAACAGGCCCAAAGACATTGTGGACAGACTTTTCTCTCTAATTCTAGACAGTGACAGAAGAACTGCCTTTGAGCACCCACATCATGAGTGCATGTGCACTTTACTGTTAAAACAACTGTCTTCAGTATAGAAGAACTCATACCTTGATCTCAGACGAAAAAACATTTATAATGACCCTTTGACAGAACAATTGCCATTGAACATCCCACTGGGGACACTTGTAGAAGAGTGATGGCGGCTCAGTGAGCAGCAGTTGGTGAGCTGGGTGAGTACTGCAGAGGTGGGGGAGGTTGGAGGGAGCAGCATTTCAGGGAATTGCTCAAGGCATTGGGGTGGAGAAGGGGGTATGACACTGAACAGAGACAGAAGGCAGGGCTGGGGCAACTGGGAGCTGTAAGCTGTCACCACCAGAGAGCTGAGAAGCACCCATCTGTTCTGGAAGGCATGAGTGGAAGTTCAGGGGTTACAGGGGCAGGCTGTGAGTCACCACTGAAGAAGTAGGGTCTGGTGGAGTGGCGATTGGTCTGGGGCAGGATGGACTTTGTGGAGAATCTGAATGCCATCTCAATGCAGCTGGACTGCTGGGGCCCTCTGGTCTTGGCCAGATTGTTGTCAGGAAAAGTGAGGTGGTGAGGGCTGTGTTTCAAGACAGAGCAGCAGCACTTGAGCCTAGCGCATGCAGGGGAGGAGGACAGCCCCAAGGCTGGCAGAGCAGTGATGTGTGGGCCAGCCTGATACACCTTTGTTCAAGCACTGTGGGTAACATATTCAGATAAAGTGGGCAGACCTGCTGAGGGGTCCCCTAATGCTGTTGGTGCATTTCCCTGAACAAGTCAGTTAAATCTCTGATCCAGCAGGACTATTCAGTGAAGGGTCCCTATAATGGAATGCTGACTGGTCGTACACAAGGGTCTTGGCTTTCCTGGAGCATTGATAGACAAATCAAATCTCCCCCTCCTTTTCATGTGACAAGGCACCTTTGCCATGCAGAATCCCAGGAGCCTGGGTGTCTCCTCTGCACACCCTGCAATGACCAGAAAGAAATCTAAGGCAGGCGAGGCCTGGAAAGGTCCTGCAGTGGATCAGCACTCAGCTTCTTTTCCAGGACACATCAGAACGGCTGCTTGATGAAAACTCTTACTCCCTCCCTTATTTTCCTGTAACTGCATGTCGTGGTTTAAGCCCAGCCGGCAA